CGCCCCCTTGGTAACAAAACCACACCAAAACATCAAGTCGTTGGCACCTTTCTTGTCTGCCTCCCAACCATTCGCCCGCCCCATTTCCCTCCCTCCCACACACACACGCAACATCATCCATCGCCATGGCTCCGGCATCCAAGTCATCCGTCAGTCGACGCAAGTCCAACGGCGCAACGGGCGCCCTGACCATCGTCCTCAAAGTTTCCCCCGACAGGCTCAAGGACCTTCTCGACCCCCAACCCACCAAGGAAGAAACGCCTGCCAAAGACTCGCCCGAGGACAAGGCCGCCTTGCCCACAGAGGAGAGCAAGCCCGAATCCGCCGCCGCCTCGCCTGCGCCCAGCAACACGCAGCCCACGACTGGCGCGGTCAACGGCGAGAACGCGTCCGACTCGAACCCTGCCACGCCGGCCGCCACTGCCAACGGAACACCTGCACCAGGCACTATGGCGCCTCCCGTCGACGGCTCGAAGAAGAAGGGAACCAAGCGATCCGCAGGCGCCGCCAATGGCCTCGGACCCGATGGCCTGCCCAAGGTCAGGGGTAAGCCCGGTCCCAAGAAGAAGGCTCGACTGTAAGTACCCCTGTTCATGACCGTCCCGTCTATCCGCGACGTTCAAGCTGACCTCAGTCTAGGGAGGACGGCACCATCGATCCCAATAGCACCGGTCGCGGCGGTGCCGGCGCTCACAAGCTCGGACCCAAGGCCAACCAGGGCGCCATCAATGCCGGCCTTCGCGCCCTCGACAGGTCCGGCAAGCCCTGTCGCAAGTGGTCCAAGGGTGGATTCACGATGAAGAGCTTCACGGGAGTCGTATGGGAGATTCCTCGCTGGACGGCGCCGCCTCACATTGTCATCCAGCCGTCAGATGACTCCAATGCTGCCTCTGCCGACAGCAGTTCGAAGGAGAACAAAGAGGTCAACGACGAACCTAAGAGCGACGCCAACAGTGCCATGCCAAACAGTAATGCAAACAGCGCAGCCGGTGTTGAGGCCAACAGCGGTCCCGGCAGCGCCATCAATCCAAGCTCGCCAGCCCCGATGGCCATCCCCGCCGCTTAAGAGATATTTCACCCACGCTCGTGGCTTTGTGACGTCTCGTAGGTTGTGTACAGATGGTTGGGTGGAGTTTGGGCGCCTGGTCGGAAATACCAGGCAGGTGACCCGTACCGCAGATTTTTTTTTTTGGCGGTCTAGGGTTTACCTCTCATTTGCAGCAAGTGCAGGGCTCCTTGGGCCCTTTATGGAGCGATGCGATTCTGCAGGCGTTGGGGCGAGATTTTTAACAGTGCATGATTGGCACTTTTGAGCTGCTCGAGGGCATTCGGCGTTTGCCAGGCAAGGCACATGTATTACGTTGGCAGTCGTTCAAGCATTTGCCGTGGATCAATCTTTATTTTCGAATAGACATGATGCCCAGTACTGCGCAAATCACAGATGGCTTTAGGCCATCCTAATGACCCTGTCGGTTGCGTGTATTTGTCCTGTTGGGATCTGTTGCTGAGAAAGGCAGCTCTATCCCGCTGTTGTCTCGATTTCTCGTCGTCGATGATGCACATTGTATAGCATGGCGTGGTCATCCAAGGCTGCTCGAAGCTTCGAGGTTGGCCACAAAACTGGTGACCTCCATTGTGCACCTGAATGACACGATGGATGGCTCACAGCGAGTCATCGGCGTGGACACTTGGCCTCGAACAGCGACTCCATCTGGCCAGGCGCCTTGCTGGCGATGAAGACGCGAGGTTGCGGGCTGAGCAGTGAGATTAGGTAAGCCGCGTGCGCGATTCGCGAGCTCCTTGTCGGATAGCGTCTTCGGTTTGGATCCACAGTACCTAAGGTAGGTACCTTTCAAGTAAGTTACCTAGGTAGGTACCAAGGTAGAGACAGTTACCTGTCGCACCTTGTGTGATGTGTTGCGTTGCCATTTTACTTGTTTTTCCGTCGGTGTATTGGAGGGTACTCACAGGCAACTTCATACATTGCCGGGTTTGAGTTTGACCTTGGGCAATGAACGTGGTGAGTGCAGCCCCAACGAATTATCAGTGACGGTATTGCTGTTCACGGGCACTGTTGGACCCGCCGGCTGGGGCTGGCATGGGCGGGGTGGCTCACCTCACACTGCCACCTGGTACATGTACTGGGCGGTGGGTGCAGGGCGCTGTGACCGACTCTGCTTAGCGCTCGACCAAGCCGGCCTAGCTGATGCGACGGCCCAAGGAGACCACCCGCGTGATGGGACGCCCTGCTGTAATCGGCACTGGCCGGGGGGGGGGATGGGCTGTCCAGCGAGGTGCATGACGGGACGTCCATGGGTACCACCTACCTGTGCCTATACTCTCCGCCCATCTCGACCTTCCAGACGACCTTCTTTCGTGCCTGCAACAACGTACGACTGCCATCTCAAGCCAGACAGTAGCTTCCGCGGCGTGCGTGTGACGCTAGCCAAGCTTCAGGACGTAGGCTTCATCATCGAACCTTGAGGACGACGCGTACAACCCTCACTCCACCCGAAACGATTACTCGACGGACACACCAGCCATCTAGCTCCGACGTCACGATACGGCCTATCCGTCGACACTACCGAAACCCCCAACTCTTATCTACCGGCCCAACGACTTCGTCCCCCTTGGATCACAGGACGCGAGCTTGTCCTGTTACCAACCAGGTGTTCCTCCTTCGACTGAACACTTGTTCTTTCGATTCCGCGTCTTGGTCCGAGGAGGCATCCGAAGTCTCGCCGCCGGCCCTCTGGTTAACGTCGCGATCGCTGGCTGCCTCGCCCTTGCCCGGCTATTGACGACCCTTCACTATGACGAACCCCTACCAACAAGGTTCCCAGGGCTTTCACGATTCGGACACACCTGCCTCCAGCTCGGGACTCTTGCCTCGTCGCTTCTCCTACGCCTCGGTCGTTTCAGCAGGCCCCAACGACTCGACACCCTCGTTTCTAACCCATCCGGGGCGCACCTCGGTCATCTCACACCTCCTCAACGCACCCGACGACGCGGCCTTTGATACCACGTCAAGCTATACCATCGGCACGGCAAGAGACGGCATGGAGGCGGATGCAAACGGCGCAGGACACGCGGCGAGGCCGTGGCGGCACAGTTCTCAGCTGCCGTCCTTCTCCAAAGCCTTCAATCTGTACATGGCAAGCCAGGATCCCTCCGACGACTCGGATTCGCCAGAGGGCAAGGCCTTTTTCGTCCCGTCATACCTTACCGGATCAACATTTGTGCAGAGGTTGCAGGAGCAGCACCGCTTGAAGCTGCAAGCCCAGAGAGATTCGCAGAACCAGGCTTCCTCACCAGCGAGTCCAAGTGCCATCACACTACACAGCAAGTCCCCGTCACATCGAGGCCTGGCATACGACGTTGTCGAGAAGCCACCGCCGCCGTTTGAAGAGGACGATGCCGTATCGTCACTGCCGACCAAGTGGAACAAGGACGACAAGTACGGCGCGCTCGAAGTGCTCGCCGACGGTCTTGAGATCAGATATAGCGGACCGCGAGGTCAGAGCGAGCGCGAGCGGGAACACGAAGCATACAGCATACGAGCAGACCACTACATGCCACCGCAGTGCGGCATCTACTACTACGAGGTCACCATCCTATCAGGCAAGCGCGATGATACCATGGTTGGTATTGGATTCTCTGGCAAGTCTGTAGCCCTCTCCAGGCCCCCAGGCTGGGAGCCCGAATCTTGGGGCTACCACGGCGACGATGGCCACTGTTATGCCGCCCACAGCGGAGGAAAGTCGTACGGTCCTCTGTTTACGACCAACGATGTTATCGGATGTGGTGTCAATTTTCGGACAGGGTCGGCGTTTTATACCAAAAACGGCCACATGCTTGGGCACGTGTTTAAGGACATTAAGGGGAATCTATACCCATCAGTTGGGCTCAAGAAGGCGGGCGAGCACATTCGGGTCAATTTCGGGCAGTCACCATTCACATATGACATTAACAACATGATGGCGGTAGGTCATGAGAGGCCCTGCACCTCGTGCTTATTAGTCGCTGACAAGGATACAGAAAGAGAAGCTTCATGTGCGAAAAGAAATAGCGAGGACAAGCACGTCAAGTCTTGCGCACAACATGAAGGAAACAGACATGATCCAAGCTCTGGTCCTGCAGTTCCTCCAACACGATGGCTACGTTGAGTCGGCGAGGGCCTTCGCCCAGGAGATACAGAGCGAAAAGATGGCCCTCAATTTGGACCCCAACGCAGTCATAGGCGACATCAACGTCAAGGATGACGAACACGCTACCACGAGGCAACGTATGGGCTCACCATGACACGTTTCCATGGTCGCTGCTAATCAATCCACAGACATCAGGAGAGCCGTCTTGGAAGGAGATATTGACAAGGCGCTCAAGCATACCGACGCATGCTATCGCGATGTTCTCAAGGACAACGAGCAGGTACACTTCAGGCTGCGATGTCGAAAGTTTATCGAAATGGTCCGTTCGGCGGCAGAGTTGAGGACGGCAGCAGAAGGCAAGAAGTCGAACGGACATACAGTTTCCAATTTCTCCCACCAGGAGATGGATCTCGATGCCAACGGCGCCGAGAACGGAACTTATGATCACGATATGGACGATGGGGCTGGCAAGACGGGCATGCTTGAGCGTCTCGAGCTCGAAACGTTGCAATATGGCCAGGCTCTGCAGGCGGCATACGTGAATGATCCCCGGAGGGAGGTGACGAAAGCGTTGGGCGACATCTACGCGCTGTTGGCGTACACGAATCCTCTGAAAGAGAAGGAGGTGGCTCACTTGCTCGATAAGAAAGGGCGGGTCGCGGTTGCGGAAGAACTCAACTCCGCGATTCTTCGTAAGTCTACGCCGTCATCTCACTGCATCATTCCCATGCTAACATGTAATACTTGCAGTCTCGTTGGGCAAGTCCTCTCGTTCGGCACTGGAGGAAGTATATGCGCAAACAAGTGTGCTGCTTGATGATTTGCGGGAGAATGGGGGGGCTGGCGCCTTTGTGTCCTTGCAGGATGTTGTTGACGACATTCCCAAGCCGCGGGACAGCTAGACATGACTTGCTTAGAACTGGCGTCAGGAGTCTCTACTTTGACGATAAAGCGCATTTAACATGGGAAAACTGCCGTGTTGTGGGTGTGATCTATGCAGTCATGACCATTGGTCCAGCCTCAGCGCCTAGTGGCCTCGTCTTGTTCTGACAACTGCACGACCTTGGATCTCGTGCGTCTAGAATGGTTGACATTGTAAAGTCGACCCACCTCTGGTGCGCTCGACTCGAAACCGTTGTCTTGGAGTGCGATTCACGTTTTGGGAATAGGAACAATCGTTTGGTAGATGTTTCCAATACGAAACGATCTATGCTGTGGAAGATAATAGAGAGTCCAACTACTTGAGACTCTTTAATAGGCAAGGGCTCTGGGAAGCCAAGACACGCTTTTCACTCCACGTGCACACAAACCTCATGATGAAGCGGTAGGTTCGAGAATTCCCGGTCTATCATTGAGGAGTACAGTACGCCAGCATGGCACGCAAAGTGGCGTACCATTGAGGTCTGGTCTGGCTGGGTAGCATGATGGAAAGAATTGATACGGGGGAGTTGTGTATTCCCGTTGTCCATCGTCCCCAGCTTAGCGAATCCGTTTTATATTCAAGTAGAGGGTCCGTACCAGAACCAATTCAATCGGGCATGGGTTGGAATGACGCCGGGTGCATGCGCCTTGACCGGCGTTTTTGAGAGGTGGCGAAGGATTGTCATGATCACGTAGCGCTTGTCGAGTGTAACATTAGAAACCCATGTATCTCCCCGCCATGTCAAGTCTATTCAGCCAGCGCACATGGGCGTTCAGTAGGACACGCGGAACTGTAATCATCCGCCCAACATTGATGTTCATGTCGGCCTCTTCTTTACGCATCTGCGTCCCAGGTGCCGACGGCTTAGCATCGCGTATGTCTGTGACGTGCCATTAGCATCAGGAATCACCTTGCATAGATACAGCTATCAACACCATCTGTCAAATTCATTTCTCATAATGTCTCTCGACTCGACCAGTCCGTGCAAAAAATCCAGGCATAACGCTATGAGTTCAACGCCTTGTCCATGCTGGTCCTCCACACGGGCGCTTTCTTCCTCAAGATCCAGATGCAGAAATACCCCGTCACCCACGTGAAGACTCCCAAGATCGTCAGAAGCCAGCCGTGGCCAATGCCGTCAATGACGGGCTGCGCGGCCAAGGCGCCGACGCACGAGAAGATGTTGCGCACAAAGTTGTTCACGGCGACGCCGCCAGAACTGCGCTTTGGCATAAACTCGGTCAGCATGGTCGTGGCGGCAGCACTGCGAGGAATGTTGGGTTAGCCATGACGGCGCGACGTGGCGTAGAGGCGGGAACTGGATGGAAACTTACAACACCAGCATGGAGGCGGCGCCAAATGTGAAGAGGAAGGTGAGGGGAAGGAACCAAAAGACGCCGTACTGGATCGTCCAGCCGTAGAGCAACAGACTGGCGGGATAGACCGTGCCGGCGATCCACATGTTCTCCCGCATCCTGTCCTCGGGAAGGAGGATGAGTTTACCGTCCGTGTCGTAACGGCCTGCCTTTTGCGCTTGGCGTGTCATGATATGGTCGAGCCAGCGGCCGCCGAGCAGAGAACTCATAATGTAGCCTGCGCCATTGGCAATGTAGATCAGACCGAGAATGGACTGGTTAAAGTTGTAGGGGTCAGTCGAGTATGCGGCCTGGACGGAGATGTTGAGGGCAAAGAGCGAGCCGAAGGTGATGGCGGCGTAGTAGACTGTGATGGCGACGGCCGGGAAGCGCAGATACGTGAGCACGGATAAAGGATCGACGATGAGCTTCCTGAACAGTGCCGTTGCCTTCTTGGTGTTTTGCTTGATCGACTCGGTCGTCCGTGTGCGAGACAGCGCAGGACTGCTGCTGCCACCAGCTGTTTCCCGGACAGCAGCCGGAGGGACGGCAGGTTTGCGCCTTGGAAGAGTCTCGGGCAAGCAAAAGAAGAGGCAGACCAGGACGATTGCGCCGTATATGGTCAGGAACCACATGGTCGATTGCCAGCCGAAGGCCTCGGATAGGACGCCACCCAAGATAGGTCCGAGGAGCTGTCCTGTCAGCTATTGCTATGCACTTGTAGAGATGTAGCGCTTACCGGTCCAACCAAAGGCCCCAAGTAGAATGTACTCATGGCACGTCCTCGTTCGCGAGGCTCCCAGATATCGGCAATGGTTCCAGCGCCGACGGCTTGCACGCTGGCGCTTGCACCGCCGCCAAAGAATCGCATGACGACGAGCATGTCGACATTGGTGCTGATGGCGCTCAAGACAGAAAATACGACAAACAGGGCAAAGGAGACGAGCAAAATGTTGCGCCTCCCCATGACCTCGGAAAATGACGACCACCAGAGAGGGAATATGGCCATAGCCAGCATGTAGAGGGAGACTGACAAGTTGACCTTTGTCGTGCTCGTGTTGAGGTCAATGGCCATCTGCGGCAGGGCAGCTGTCTCGTGTAAGCGAGTCGACATGTTTGGCAGGAAACTAACTTTCCGGGGAGGACATACGGTAGAAAATGGCCGAGCCGAGCGGGCTAGCGCTGCCTGCCAGAGCGACCACGGCAGTGATGCACCATTTTGTCTTGTTCGAATACTCCTGTGGTCGCTCCAGCTCGGGAATCAGCGTGAGCCGGCCGAGGAAGCCTCTACGCCTCGAGGCCGGCACGACGGATATGGGGCGTGAGCGAGTTGAGGCGGCTCGCGACCTGTCTCGAATGGGCGATGTCACCCCAGCTCCAGGCTGTTCAGCGTCGGCCCCATACACATCTGGTTTTTCCGATGCCCGACGTGATGGCTTTTCATCCTGCTGACTGCCATGCGAGGCCTGGCTGTGGATAGATAGGCTGTCGACCGAGTGTCGCTGCTGGGCTGGGTTTTGATCATGTCTGGGGCTTTTGGGCGACTCAGTGTGTTTCTCGTCGGCTCCGGAGGCCGTCATTCTTGCGGCCAGCTACCGTTGCAGTGGTATCCGCCGGCGACATGGAAGGCAGTTTAAGGTTAATGAACACGCGATGCCGAGCCCCTAGTATTGGGACCAACGTGCGTCACTGTCAGAACAATGGCTTGCTAGGGCACCTTGGACGAAACAACGACTCGGAGGCCATAGGAAGGGGGAGGGAAGAAAAGCAGTGCAGCACCCCAGCCTTAAGAATGGGAGATGCATCCTTCCCCCACAACGCATCGGCTTCGACATCGGCAGAGCTAGCCCCTACACGGGAAGCCGACCGCACTCAGCGGACCTCGTACGGTATTGCCGGTGGACACGGCGACGGGGGGGCTGGTCCTCAGTGCTCGAGACGACTCGGGTTGGTGCTTTCCACCTCTGGGCGCCGTGGGTGCTTTGGGCGCCGTGGGTGCTTTGGGCGCCGTGGGTGCTTTGGGCGCCGTGGGTGGTTCTGTAGGGTTGTAGGGCGCGGAAGGGTGGGTGTATGCATCCTGGGAGCGCGGGGGCTAGTCCAAGCAGGATTCCAGTGGACATGATCAAAGAACAGCAGACCATCAGCGCCGGAATTTCGGAAGTTCGGCACCGATTCGAGGGGGGTGGAGGCGCCATGCTTGCCAGGTTATCTGACGTGCTCTCTTCGCAAAGCACTGGAGAGAGCGAGAGAAAGAGAGGGGTGGCGGATCCGGTGTCGGGCGGCATCTTGTGGATTCGCCGGTCTAGTTTCGAGTGTGATCTGATACGCCGGACAAGGGGTCGTTGATGAAGATGCCGAGGTGATTTTTGAAAGATGCGGGGAGAGAGAGTAGTGTGAGAAAGCCAGTCGTAGATACAACAAGGAGAGGGATGGAGGGCCTAGGCTCATGGAAGATGAGGGGAGGGGCCGCGGTTTGCCCAGAGGCAGCAGCGCCAGGCCAGGACGAGGACGAGGACGAGGACGAGGAAGGAAGGAGGTTCCGGTCGGATCGGGGGGTTCAAGCCTCACCTCACCTCACCTCGCCGCGATCCGATGGTGTGTGGCACAGCGGGGGTGGCTCAAGTCTTGGCTGACATAATGCCTCATCCCACCTTGAACTTGACTCACAAGAGAAGGAGCACGACCAAGGAAAGAGCAACACCACGCGAATCCAGCTCACGACACCCCTCGACGTCGACGAGTTGCCGAACCACTCTTGGCCATGTCTCTGACAAACGCATCGCCCGCTGACTCCGCCCAATCGGCCAAGTTGGCCTCCCACGTTCTGGCAACCCTCCCCACATCAGCCCGCAACGAGGCCCTCACAGCCATCCACGATGCTCTTGCCGCCTCCAGAGAAGACATTCTGAAGGCCAATGCCGAAGACGTAGAGCTCGCCCGGAAGGCAGCCGCCGACGGCACCTTGAGTCAGAGTCTCGTGTCCCGCTTGGATCTCGGCCGCAAGGGCAAGTTTGAGGACATGCTCAAGGGCATCCTCGATGTGCGTGACCTCGAAGACCCCATCGGCCGTCTCACGCTGCGCACCCGCCTCGACGACGGCCTGACCCTCGACCGCGTCACCTGCCCCATTGGCGTCCTTCTCATCATTTTCGAGGCCCGGCCCGAGGTCATCGCCAACATTGCCTCCCTCGCCATCAAGTCCGGCAACGCCGCCATCCTCAAGGGCGGCAAGGAGTCGACGCGGTCCTTCGTCGCCGTGGCCACCGTCATCGCCAAGGCCCTCGACGGCACCCGTGTGCCCAACCAGGCCGTCCAGCTCGTCACGACGCGCGACGTCATCCCCGAGCTCCTGGCCCTCGACCACCTCATCGACCTCGTCATCCCGCGCGGCTCCAACGAGCTCGTGCGCACCATCAAGAACACGACGCGCATCCCCGTCCTCGGCCACGCCGACGGCCTCTGCGCCGCCTACCTCGCCGCCGACGCCGACCCCACGCTCGCCGCCAACGTCCTCGTCGACTCCAAGACGAGCTACCCCGCCGCCTGCAACGCCCTCGAGACGCTGCTCGTGCAAGAGGCCGCCCTGCAGCAGCCCGATGGGCCCTTTGCCGCCGCCGCCCGCGCCCTGCTCGCGGCCGGCGTCACCCTGCACCTCGACGCCGCCTCCAAGGCCGCCGTCGGCGCCCTCGCCCTCGCCGCCGCCGACGCCGTCCCCGCGGCCCAGCTCGTCGACGTCCAGCCCGACGACTACCGCACCGAGTTCCTCTCCCTCGACCTCGCCGTCAAGACGGTGCCCGACCAGGACGCCGCCGTCGCGCACATCCACGCCCACTCGTCCAAGCACACGGACCTCATCCTGACGGCCGACGCCGACGCCGCCGAGCGCTTCATGGCCGCCGTCGACTCGGCCGGCTGCTACTGGAACGCGTCGACGCGCATGGCCGACGGCATGCGCTACGGCTTCGGCACCGAGGTCGGCATCAGCACCAACAAGATTCACGCCCGCGGGCCCGTCGGCCTCGAGGGCCTCATGATCTACAAGTACAAGCTGCGCGGCCACGGCCAGGTCTCGCTGGCCTACGGCGACGGCGACGGCAAGAAGCCCTTTAAGCACGAGAGGCTGCCGCTGGAGTGAGGGCGCTCAGCCGACCTTATTTCATGACGAACTGCTTTGTTTTCTGGGGGTGGCGATTTGCATGGGCTTCTGGGGCGTTCATGAGTGACGGACGGCCTCAGACACAGCGAGGCAAAGAGAGGAAGCGCCAAAAAGAGTTGGGCGTAAATGTGTGTCCTGCGCATAGATAGGAACGCCCCGCTACGGACTACGCATGAAGGACATGAAGCGAGGGCCAGTTGCAGAGCGGCGCAAGTCAAAAGTCGGGCAAGTTTTGTTTACAAAGACGTCGATACCCTCAACGGTTCCATGACGGGAAGATGAATACATGATTCCCCAACCCTGAACCTCTCTCCCCCTCCCCCTTTCATGATCCAACCAAACCTGCGTCTTGTTCATATTCGCCATTCGTGCGCTCGTCTGATCTCATTAAACCACACACACCCCGTCATCCTATGCAAACGTAAGAAAAGAGAGGCGACACAAAAGATGCCGCCCACACGCCGAAACGCCCGTTCAGGGAGCCATCCCGGACCATGAGATGTGTCTGAGGGGGAGGCGGCTTTTTTTCCTGACTCGAAACAACCAAAACAGTCCCAGACATCAATGCGTCGGCCGGACCTGACCCCGTGCATCGTAAGACTTCATCCAGACATGACCATCGTCCTTTCCTCCCCCGCTCATGTTCACACCTCTCTCTCTCTCTCTCTCTCTCTCTCAGTGACCCCTTACTCGGCGCGTCCACGATAGTTGCCCATCTTTTCGATCGAGCTCATGATGCCGCTGCGCGCGCCGAACCCACTCCCTGGCCTGGGCAAGCCCGCCGCGCCACTCCTTGTCCGCTCGTGGTTCGCCGCGCCAGCGCTCCTGCCAGGCATGACGATGGAGCTGCCGGGCGCCTTGAGACCGGACGCGCGCGTTACGCTGCTGCGGAAGCCGTCGGGCTGCGGCATCCTGACGGCCGGCCCCGGCGTCCTGGCCTTGGCAGGCGTGCGCACCGGCGTGCGGTCGGGCCGGGGGGCGGGTTCCTGAGGCTTGGGCTGGGTCTTTTGCTTCTCCGCGGCGACGAAGCTCTGCATCGACATCATCTCCTCGGCCAGCTGCACGAGCTCGCCCTTTTCGACGCGCTCCTGCTCCAGCAGAGTCCGCAGCTCGCTGTTGTCGTCGCGGATCGTGTGCATCATAGCCTCGAGCTTGTCGACCTCAGCGCCGAGGTGCCGGATCTGCGCGGCGTCACGGACTGCCTGCGCCTTGCGCTCCTCCTCGGCTGCCTGCTCGGCAGGATCAACGCGCGTCATGGTCGCATCCCGTCCAAGGCGCAGGCGCTCGTTTTCCTCGCTCACATCCTCGAGCCTGGTCTCGAGGTCGCGGACCCTTTTCTCCCAGCGACCCTCGTAGCTCTTCTTTAGCGCCGTCACCTTGGTCTCGTGTTTGCTCTTGTATAGGGCGTGCAACTCACGGGCCACGCGCTCGACGGCCATTTCGACCTCTTTTGAGGCGTCCTTGGCGCCGGGGCTCCTGCTCTTGTCGGATCTGGCATTGTCCTCCGAAGCTCTACCGGCGCGCATGCCGGCGAGCTTGCTCTCGGCCTCCTGGGCCATGTTCTCAGCCGCCTCACGGCGCGCCTCGCTCTCTGAGAGCTTGTATTCCAGCTCTTCCGTCTCGCGTTGGCTGCGGACAATCTCTTCCTTGACGCTGCGCAGCACCGTCTCCATCTCGCGGCTCCGTTTCTCCCAGCCCTCCTTCTCGGCGGCCAGGTGTTCCTTTTCGGACGACATCTCGCGTACCTGCTCCATGCACTCGCCGACACGCTTCTCGGCGTCGCCGACCGCCGTCTTGAGGGCAAGGGCTTCCGCCTCCTTGCCACTGAGGGACGCTTTGAGGCTGCTGATCTCCGAGAGGAAGCTCGACTTGAGGCTTTCGAGCTCGCGCGGTGTGATTGTCGGGATACTGCGCGGCGTGGGTAGTGGGGGAATGTCAAAGTCGAGCAGGTTGCCCATCTGCCGCGCCGGGGTAGCGGGGACGGTAGAGCCGGTGCCAGTTGTGAATCTCTTGCCGGGCGACTTGCCGGGATGGCGCTGGTGTTCGGTAAAGTCCATGAGGAGGTTTGTCGTGTTGCCGGACGAGTCTGGGTGGTAGGACATGGGGCGTTGTGATCTCGCGGGCGACGGGCCAGGGCGACCCCGGGGGGTCATGCCGTCGTCTAGGCCATTGGTCTTTGGCGGGCTGTTGCCGAGCCGCGCAAAGGTGGTCAGGTTGGGCACGGCGGAAAAGGCACTGAAGGTGCTCGTCATGGTATCGTCAGGGCCAACCGAGTCGTCGTAGGTCACCTCGTGATGGACTTCGGTGTCGTCACCGTGGTCGTCCCGGTCAAGGCGGTCGGTCGCGCCGGGCGACGTGTCGTGCGCCCGACCAAAGTCGTCGACGGTGTCGTCCTCAAAAATGTCAATGGCATGGCTGAGACCC